AGTAAATTCCTCTCGAAGTTTTCTCTGTAATTTGCGATGATCAACACAGTTGAAGGCCAACGAGAAGTCAACCAGGACCATAACTGTACACTGCTCGTTGTCGAAATGGTCATAAATATCGTGCGTCACTTTTGCCAAAGCTGTTGTTGTGCTATGGCCCTTTCTGTATCCTGATTGGTTCGATGCAAGCAACCTGCGATCGTCCGCTTCCACGTGCCCAACAATTTGGTCGAGCAGGATCTTCTCGAGAATCTTGGAGATGGCAGGGAGAACACTAATTGGCCGAAAGTGTTTAGGTTCAGTCGGATTTGTTACCTTTGGTATGGGCATGATGAGACCTTTTTTCCAGACGGCAGGGAACGATCTGGCATCAATCACCGCATTGTACAGGTGAACCAGTACAGGCAGTACAAACGGGACCAACATCTTAACGAATGAGTTAGGGATTCCATCTGAACCTGCAGCATTGGTTTGAACTTCCATAATCTTGCGTGACACTTCGTTGGCTGTAGTCCTTCGGAATTCGAACTGCATCCCATTAGCGATACGGTGCGCCGGTTCAACTTCTGCTCTATTGTCAGTCACAAGCAGTCGATGTCCCTCGCAGAAGAAACGGTTCATCTCATCAGGATCAGCATGTTCAGCGGCAACGTTCTTCTTGGCGTTGTTATGCACACCCTCACGCCGGCGGTTGCTCCAAAGCTTTTTTGCAGGGAGGTTGTGTGCAAAATGCGTTTCCCCGTATCGCTTCTTTGCTGCTGAGATCAACGATGCTGCCTTACTGCGTTTTCGTACGAAGTCGTTCCACTGATTGTCGTTCCTTCTCCTGTTGGGATTTCGCGTGTAGAGTGCGTGTGCTAGGTCTCTCACGGCAATCGCCCTTTCAATTTCTGTTGTAATCCATGGCGTACGTGCATCTTTTACAACAATTTCACGTTCAGGAGCATGTCTGTCCATTAGGTTTTGCAGTTTGGTTGTTATTGTCTGTGCTTTAGTGTTAACGTCGTCGGTGTTGAGTGCCTCTCTGAAGTCCATTGTTTGGAAGTCTGCCTGAAGTGCAACAACATCAACATTACGGAAATTTCTGACCATAATACGCTGAGGTGCTGCTTTTCTAACTTTAACGTCGGAGATCAAGAAGATGATCTCATGATCTGAGAGGCTCGAGGATTTTGTCTTAGCTGTACGTAGATGGAAGATTCAGGACTGTCTGTGATGAGTAGATCGATTGTCGTTGAACTTCTTTCTGCTATTCTTGTGGGTGGTGTTGGTAGGATGGTAAGGTGGAAGGCATTGTGAATACGGATGAGCGATCTCAGATTTCCTGATGACTGTTGAGCAGTGACGTTGATGTTAAAGTCTCCGGCAACGAAGATTCGGTCGAAGGCGAAATCCTGGACATCGAAAAGGAGCTTCTCGTACTCTCGTGCAAAATGCGGGTTCGAAACGGAGGGATTATAGATGGTGACGATTCCAATGTTGAGATCGTTGATTTTTACCTTAACGACGAGATACTCGAACCTTTGCGCTAGAAACACGTCTGGATCGTATGTAGATTTGAGTACTGGGGTTGCCGTCAGACCTTTCAACACGTAAATCCCGATTCCTCCACAGGATTTGCTTCCACGGCCGCAACTTTTCTTCGAACAAATTCTACTACTGAGATGACAACTACTATTCCAAGATTCTAAGTTCAGGGAAGGCCTGTAGAAGGACAGGGAAGTCCTACTGAAGTTCAGGGAAGTCCTGTTGAAGTTCAGAGAAGTTCTGCCAAAGTTCAGAAAAGTTTTGCCGATATTCAGGGAAGTCCTGCCAAAGTTCAGGGAAGGCCTGCGGAACTTCGAGAAAGTCCTGCCGAAGTTCAGGGAAAGCCTGCCGAAGTTTCGGGAAGTCCTGCTGAAGTTCAGAGAAGTTCTGATGAACTTCAGGGAAGTCCTGACGAAGTGCAGGGAAGTCTTGCTGAAGTTCAGAGAAGTCCTGCCGAAGTCCAGGGAAATATTGCTTAAGTTCAGGGAAGTCCTGCTGAAGAACATGGAAGTCATGCTGAAGTTTAGAGAAGTTCTGTCGAAGTTAAAGAAAGTTTTACCGAACTTCAGGGAAGTCCTGCCCAAGTTCAATGAAGGCCTGCTGAAGCTCAGGGAAGTCCTGCCATTTCAATTCTTGGAAATCTTCTTGAAAGACCTAATGAAGTTCAGGGTACTCCTGCTGAACCTCAGGGAAGTCGAAAGTTCTGCCAAATTTCAGGGAAATCCTGTTGAAGTTCAGGGAACTCCTTCCGAAGTTTAGGGAAGGCCTGCCGAACCTTAAAGGAAGTCCTGCCATTTCCATTTTTAGATGTTGGTTTATTTCCACAATGGTGGATCCAAGATGGAAAATGATTTTCAAAATGGTGGATTTAAAATGGTGAGTCTTTGATAAAATGTTCGGTCTTTCTAAATATCTGTTGTGTTGGAAGATTTTCAAAATTTTGGATTAACGACGGTGGGTTTTCAAGACAATAGTCGATGTACTAATATTATAGTATAGTTGTAATTATTCCAATTTTAATATAACAATTACAATTTCAAGATAGAGGATGAATTTCAAAATGACAGTTAATAAAAATAATGATGGATCCAAGAACTAATATAATTATCTTGAAAAATACCAAGATATATCAGAATATCTTCATCAAAAAGGCTGAAATTTTCGCAGAATATCCTCACATACTTGTGAAACAACTTATGAAAATTGAGGATTAATTTGGTTTAAAAAATATTTCGGAAGAGTTTTTTCGATCGTTGCGTTATTTTGTAAAAAATCAACGAAGTGAGTCATTTTGAACTGATCCACTTTCATCTTTAAACGTGTTAAGATTGTTGATTTAAATCTTACTTATCGAGGTACGTATTAGTGATTCACAAAATAGAGCTATTCGGCCGGGTATTCGGCGTTTACTGATATTCGGCCATTTCCCACCTAACAAGTGGCTGACAAGGGGACAAGGAGTGAAATTTTGAGACTTCAAAGCTTGATATCAGCCACACAATAGGAAGCTCGCAAGCGAGTTTATTCTCGCAAGGAGGCTCAATGAAAAATGAGATTTGAGAATGATTTTCTGAACACTGGTCTTACCTAACACAGACATCAATCATATCGTTGGTGCTAAACGAAACAAGCCGATGCCTCATTTCAGTATCCGGACAATGGATATATTTACGTCGTGCACCACACAGCAACTCAACTCAAATGCCTGAACATCTCAATACAGGAACCTCAATACAGGGAGATCCAGCGCCTACTGCTATTATGGAGGTGTGGCATCTGATAGCACATCAAAACATCATTCGCCATACGACATTGACGTGATGTTTTAACATGTTTATGATGCCACATCGCAGCCACACCAGTGGGCACCAGCCCTTTTTGCGCGCCAGCAGTCGGTGCCAAAATGTTGCATATAACAACCTGACAATTTGTTCCTAAATAACATTGAGCGATTCACTTTAACGACCATCTTGCATATGTCCGCTTATTATTCCTTCCAGAATGCCAGATTTCTTGCATGCCATCTACGAAGGCATCGATCTTGCTTTAGATCAAAAATCTCGAAAGTGACGAATTCCAGGGGGTCCATCCAAAGATGAATACTAAGATGAAACGGTCGGAAGAAAAACTTTCTATTTTAGTGTCTTCTTTCACGGTCCCTTTCATCCAATGAGAACCCCCCGTATTCAAGGTAATTTTGTGGTTTTGCTGCCCCCTCGGAATAGATGAAATTTTGCGCTCATTTTTATCAAAACAATCACACCAAAATCAGAGATGTCCCATTTTTTAATTACTCGATTAACAACTAATCGATTATTTTTTATTCACTGTGCTGCCATTTTTCCCCGAATGAGAGTGCAGCACATGTTTGAAACGATCGGTGATGATCCTATGGAGATGTTAATGCTTATATCGGCATGATCTAACCGATTATAAATAGTTTACTTTTCGGTTCGTTAATCGATTAAACGATTATTCGAATGAAAATCGGACATCACTAGATGAATGTGAAACGTCATTTCAAATATAAGGCCGTTCATGAATAATGATACAATTTGAAAGGGACCGGGGCTAATCACAAATTACGTCTCCATGGTAACTGAAATAAACACGAGTGTTCACCGGTTGGTCCATCTTGCTCAAGGCCAAACATTCTGAAATCAACATTCATCACGGTAGATACTTCATCATATATGAATTGGATTTACAAAACCACCCAAACCATCGGCCCTTTTCAAGGCCACCAAAAATTTCTACAAAACAGTTGATTTTTGAAAATCGACGAATGAAAACACGTTCGCGAGCGGATATTGTGCGGACGTAATGCAAATACTGACTTGTTAATACGGGAACTTGCAAAAAAATTGGATTTACTTGGATTGGTTTGGAAGGGATAAAAACATTTGACGTGCAGGATCAGCCGAAGAGGTGAAGAGGATATTGAAGGAAACCCCGAACCTCTCTGTTCGAGCGGTGGCTCGTAAAATAGGAATGTCACCTGGTTTTGTCCAAAAATCCAAACAGCGTTTGGGGCTGAAGTCGTATAAAGTAAAAACAATTCCAAATCGCAACGACAAACAGAATTCGACAGCAAAATCACGGGCTCGACGTTTGTACTGCGAATATTTGACGAAGTATTCATGCGTTGTTATGGACGATGAAACTTATGTCCTGTAGAATTTCAAGCAACTTCCAGGGTTGCTATGGTTAAAAATGCTACAGCTGAGTATTTCAGGACGAAGAAGGCATCTCAATTTACAATGAGTGGTAGAAAATTATCATACATTACATTACATTATCATACATGTTTGAAACAGTGTCTCTTCCCATTGTGTGTTACTGAGATGAACTAGGCTATGGCTAAAAATCTCGTTAATAAAGATTTAAAAAAAAAATCTTCCCAGTATCCAGTTTCCCCTACATGCCCTACAACAAAACTTTTATTTTTATTTTTTTTAAATCTCCCTCCGCAGGATCTTATCGAAGATCTCAAATCCGAGCTCGGTGGCAAATTCGAGGATGTCATCGTTGCCCTGATGATGCCACCGGAGAAATATCTTTGCAAACAGCTGCACAAGGCCATGGACGGAATCGGTACCAACGAGGGTGCTCTGATCGAGATTCTTGCTCCACAAACGAATGAAGAGATCAAGAAAATCGTCGATTGCTACGAAGAGATGTACGATCGTCCCTTGGCTGAACATTTGTGCAGCGAAACGGACGGTAGCTTCCGACGGCTGCTAACGATGATCATTGTCGGAGCAAGAGATCCCCAAGGAACGGTTGATGCGGATTTGGCCATAGAACAGGCTAATCAGCTGTACAACGCCGGTGAAGGCAAATTTGGTACCGACGAGGAGGTTTTCTACAAAATCCTGGCTCACGCCAGCTTCGATCAACTGGAAATAGTTTTCGAAGAATACAAGAAATTATCCGGTCGAACCATCGAGCAGTCCTTGAAGGATGAACTGAGCGGAGAGTTGTACGATGCGCTCAGTGCCATTGTGGAATGCGTCCAGATGGCACCGCATTACTTCGCGAAACGTTTGCACAAGGCAATGGACGGCGTTGGAACGGATGACGCAAGTATGATTCGCATCATTGTTTCACGCTCGGAGCTGGATCTTCAGAACGTCAAGGACGAATACGAGCAAATGTACAACAAGACGCTGCTGAGTGCCGTACGGGTAAGTGTTGGTCACTATGTTTGTCAAATTGGCACATCCCATTATTCAATTAGATTGCGTAGTTAAATATATATCTAGCGTTCAGAATCATAAAGAATTAACTGCTTAATAATTAGAATGAATTAACATTTCTCGGTGCCTTTTATGTTGCTTTTGCTAGCTAATACAACCTTTCACTACAGTGTATTGTAATAATTTCGAAAAATTGCCTTCTGAACTGTGGTAATGCGAAGAGATAATCTGTCGCCGCGGTTAGGCCCTTATGATTCTAAACGCTAGTATATATAAAACGAGTAGCAAGCGATGATGATTAACCATTTAATTATTTCGTATTTGTTCTTGTCTCTTGATTCGCACTTCATTCAATCGCATAACCACAATGAAACGTGACCCGTTGGTTCTTGCCTCCCCTGCGCTAACACATTGGACGTTGTGATGTGCCACTTTTTTCGCCCCGCTCCGCCACATTGCGTTGCATTTGTGGATTGATGCCTCTCGTTCGATAACAGGAGGTAATATTTTAATTAGTTTATGATTTGTGTGTTGCCTGGCTAACTTTCTAACATTTGCATATTTGCTTATATTGTGGTGGTGTATTGTATGCTATGGTATTTCGTTTTGTTGATTGATGATGTAATGAAGGCAGTTGAAATTTGCCGACAAACGTAAGTTGCCAATGCTAAAGCTCGATTCAAAGTAAATCTGGACGCACGGTTTAATACATCACCGCGCCCCTGGTGGTTGGAACAAAAAACGTTTGACAGGCATTTGTTGATGTTTCATTGACGAAGAAATTGGTGAAAATGATTGTACGACTTTTCCCCGAAAACCAGTTCCCCGAAAACACTTTCCTCGAAAGTTTTATCCCCGAAATACGATTCCCCGAATGAACCAGTTCCCCGAAAGGAACGTTTTCCCGAAAACTATTTCCCCGAAAGAACTAGTTCCCCGACAGATACAATTTACACTGTGCGATCTATTTAAATATGATCCTTGAGTTTGTTACAACTTATCTATATGAAATTGAGAAAAATATCTTTGCTGAATATTGATAAACAGAACAAAGTCGTTCAACACCCTAGATAAAGTTTGTGGTTATGACTTGTTATGACATTTGGCGGTTTATCAAATTGATATCTGATTGTAATGAGCATAAAGACTGAGCTTTGATATAAAGAAGGGAAAATTGTGTCAGTTTCATCAAATCTTTCGCTGGTTGACTACTTGTATCGAACAATACCAAAATACACATATCAATGTGTGTCGAATTAAAGTGGACTCTACACGACTGTTTGTATTGACAATAATCGTATTGTCAATGCATTTTATATTGACGTCAATACATCGGTATTGACAATATATCTGTATTCACATCATCAATATTATTGTCAATACTTTTAAGTATTGCGAAATTTTACCGAAATCTCAACAGCTGAACGTTCGGTAAACAGTTCGGTGATTTTTCACAGATTTCCTGTAATTTTTTACCGAATATTCTGAAATCGGTGTATGGTGTTTTCTTCTTGCTCCATACAATTTTGGATTCGGCCTATAAGGAGTCGCAAAGTGACTATAGCATGTATTGCATGGGGACGCATGGTATCTTTTATTTATTAGTATGGAGTTTTTTAACGTTCGTACCTATCCAACACACACACACACACATACATTGTATGCAATTAGCTCCATGGAACATACCAAGTTATACGTCAAATAATCAACTAAGATAAAAAGAAGGAAAAATTCTTGCAACAAACAAAATTTTCCCTTTTTTTTTTTTAACTCTTTATTTGTTCCAAATTCAAAATAAATTACATTTCATTTTAACCTAGGTGCTCCAGTTACTGCAGTAACGTACCAGCCTTAATTGTTATGATATATATCTAAGTGTTTTTACATTGTTCATGCCTTGGCAATTTAGTATTTTAAACAGGTTTTTTAACCTGCATGTCAGTATAACAATTGATATCTTAAAACTAAAAACTAAAACTAAATCTTATCTAAGTATAAAGGGAATTAATCGTTGCAATTGAGGATTGCAACGATTTTTGCCTGAAATTATTAATTATTTTGTTGGACATTTGTGCTAAAGTCTCAACATTCGAAATTCTATGTACTTCGGTAGTACTGTACCAGGGAGGCAACTTCAAAATCATTTTCAGAATTTTGTTCTGAATCCTTTGAAGTGCTTTTTTCCTGGTAGTGCAGCAACTAGACCATATTGGCACAGCGTAAAGCATGGCCGGTCTAAAAACTTGTTTAAATATTAGAAGTTTATTCGTCAGGCAAAGTTTGGATTTCCTGTTTATAAGAGGATACAAACATTTTATATATTTGTTACATTTGGCTTGAATGCCCTCAATGTGATCTTTAAAAGTTAATTTTTGGTCAAGTATTAATCCAAGATATTTCACTTGGTTTGACCAGGAAATTGGAACTCCGTTCATAGTGACTATCTGACTACTACTAGGTTTCAAAAACGAAGCTCTAGGCTTGTGTGGAAATATTATAAGTTGAGTTTTGGAAGCGTTGGGAGAAATCTTCCATTTTTGTAAATAAGAAGAGAAAATATCTAAACTTTTCTGCAGTCTGCTGCAAATAACACGAAGACTTCTTCCTTTAGCGGAAATGCCTGTGTCATCAGCGAACAAAGATTTGTGGCAACCCTGAGGCAAATCAGGGAGGTCCGAAGTGAAAATGTTATACAATATAGGCCCAAGAATGCTACCCTGAGGAACTCCTGCCCTAACAGGTAGCCGATTAGATTTGGAATTTTGATAATTTACTTGAAGAGTTCTGTCAGTTAAATAATTTTGAACTAATTTCATAATATAAAGTGGAAAATTAAACTTTTTCAATTTAGCAATCAAACCTTCATGCCAAACACTGTCGAATGCTTTTTCTATGTCTAGAAGAGCAACTCCAGTTGAGTGGCCTTCAGATTTGTTTGAACGAATTAAATTGGTAACTCTTAAGAGTTGATGAGTAGTTGAATGCCCATGGCGAAATCCAAACTGCTCATCTGCAAAAATTGAGTTCGTATTGATGTGAAGCATCATTCTATTCAAAATTATCTTTTCAAAAAGTTTACTTATTGAAGAAAGCAAACTTATTGGACGGTAGCTAGAAGCTTCAGCTGGATTTTTATCCGGCTTCAAAATTGGAACAACTTTTGCATTTTTCCATTTATCAGGAAAGTATGCCAAATGGAAACATCTGTTAAATAATTTTACCAAGAAAGACAAGGTACTCTCTGGGAGTTTTTTGATGAGGATATAGAAAATTCCATCATCACCTGGAGCTTTCATATTTTGAAACTTTTTAGTTATAGACCTTACTTCGTCCAAATCAGTCCCCCAGGTATCATCAAAAATATTTTCCCGAGAGAAAATATTCAGAAAATCCCGAGCAACCTGATTCTCAATAGGACTAGTAAGACCCAAACTGAAATTATGGGAACTCTCGAATTGCTTAGCAAGTTTCTGAGCTTTTTCCAAATTTGTGATCAAAATTTTACCACCTTCTTTAAGCGCTGGAATAGGCTTTTGAGTTTTTTTCAAAATTTTTGTGAGTTTCCAAAAGGGTTTGGAACTCGGGTCTAATTTAGAAATAGTATTTTCAAAAGTTTTGTTCCTCAGGGCAGAGAATCGCTTTTTAATTTGTTTTTGCAAATCCCGCCAGATAACTTTCATGGCAGGATCGCGTGTTCTTTGATATTGTCTCCTACGGACATTTTTAAGACGGATCAAGAGCTGAAGATCATCGTCTATTATAATTGAATCGAATTTAACCTCGCATTTTGGTACTGAGGCAGCTCTTGCTTCAACTATAGAAGTAGTCAGAGATTCAAGAGCATAATTAATTTCATCTTTGGTTTGCAAAGGAATGTTTGGATCGAAGTTATATTCCATAAATGTTCGATACTGCTCCCAATCAGCTCTATGGTAATTGAAAGTAGAGCTGTTGGGATTACAAATTATTTCTTGGGATATTTCAAAAGTTACTGGAAGGTGATCAGAACCGAAGTCAGCATGGGTAACCAATTGGCTACAAAGTTGACATGAATCAGTTAAGACCAAATCAATAGTGGAGGGATTTCTTATAGAAGAAAAGCATGTTGGACTGTTTGGATATTGAATAGTGTAATAACCTGCAGAACAATCATCAAACAGAATATTACCATTGGAATTGCTTTGAGCATTATTCCATGAGCGGTGTTTTGCATTAAAATCACCAATAATGAAGAATTTAGACCTATGACGGGTAAGTTTCTGGAGGTCACCCTTGAGAAAATTCTTTTGCTGGCCTACGCATTGGAATGGCAAATAGGCAGCTATAAACGTAAGTTGTCCAAATTTTGTTTCAACAGAAACTCCCAAAGTTTCAAAAACTTTGGTTTCAAATGAAGAAAGAATTTTATGTTTGATTCGTCTATGAATAATGATGGCAACGCCACCACAGGGTCCATCAAGACGATCATTTCTATAAATCAAGTAATTTGCGTCCTTCTTAACCTTATGGGCAGGTTTAAGGAACGTTTCAGTTATAACGGCAATATGCACGTTATGAACTCTCAAAAAATTAAAAAGCTCGTCTTCATTATCTTTAAGAGATCGAGCATTCCAATTTACAATATTTAATGCTTTAAAATCCATTACTGAATTTTAAAGTCATGACAATATTATTTGCAAATTTTACTCCAGTTTGAATAGCATCAAACATGGAGTTAGATTTAAGCATATCAGAAATCATGTCAATTAATGAATTCTGTAAAAATTCCATTTTGGGGGCAGTAATGCTCCCTAAGTCAAAATTGTCAAAATTTCCGTTAGAACGTTGGTTAGTATTTTGATTTCTACCCGCTGCAATAGCAGCATAGGTAGCTCCATTAACTCGCTGAACATTGTTAGCAGCGAGGGGAGTAGGTACAGATGAAACATTTGAAGCAGGGGTGATATTTGTACCTACGGGTACGAATGTAGAATTTGTTCCTCGCTGAC